TATATATATATATATATATATATATATATATATATAAGTGGTCGTGAATATATATATATATATATATATATATATATATATATATATATATATATATATATATATATATATATATATATATATATATATATATATATATATACTATAGCGTGCAAAAGTAATTGCAAATGAGCCTAAATCGACATAATTTTTAACTAAAATATAATATTTTTTAAAAATTTTTGCTGAAATGTAAAAAAATCGGTTTAAAAAAAAAAAAATAATAAATTTTTACTAAGTTTAAGAAAATACATGCAAAAGTATTTGAGCAATAAAATACTTTTTTTTTTTAAATTTTTTTTAAATGAAAATGTTTTAATTTAAAGTAGAATTCTTTAATACTTTGGCAGAAAGTCCTTTGAATTGATTACTGTATGACAGCGACGAGGCAGTAAGTCCTCAATTTTGTCAATTTTTTTCTATTCTTGTTTTAGAAATTTAAGTAAATCTTGTTTACATGTTGATTTTTAACCTAAAATTTTACGATTGAGGTATTCACATAAATATTTTGTTGGATTAGGATCAGGTCTTTGCAAGGACCTTTACATTAACCAAATTTTTTTGGACTTAAAGAAGTCCTCACTAGAGTTGAAGTGTGCTTTAGGTCATTGTCCTACTGAAATATATGTCCTCGTGGCATTTTGGCTTTATTTAAGTTTTATTTCTATAAAGGCTTTATTTGGCTTTATTTAAGTTTTATTTCTATAAAGAGTCAAAAAGCACGCATAAAATTAGCTTATGAACATTTGAACTTAGCAAAAGAAAAATAGAAAAGTGTTTTTTAGTGATGAACAGAAGTTTATGTTATTTGGACTTGATGGTATTTTTTATTCTCGTTATCCAAAAAATGACTCTAAATACCAGCTGCTAACAGTAAAGCACATAAGTGGAAACCTTATGGTTTTGCTTCAATAAAAATTGTGTTGATCCTACCCACTTGATTCTGGCATAATGGACTAAAATATATTTAAGGAAGCTGTTAAGAATATCACAATGAATACATGCTAAAGACAAATTCAAGATCATTGACTGGTCATTCTAAAAAAATCTATAATATGAAATATCTAAAAAGGTCTTATTAAATAACTTTGATGATGCTAAGCAACGAATTGTTTAAAAATAGAAAATAAAATTGAAAAAACTAGCATATTTAGCCTGTAAAAGAAAAGCATCCAAGTGTAGAAGATGTTTTAAAAACATTTGAAAGACATTTAAAACATAATTTTTAGAAGTAAACGCCATTTGGATTAGTACATTTAATAAATTTGAAAATCATTTATTAGAAACGTATTAATTATTAATCAATGAGAAATAATAAGTTGAAAAACTGTAATCATAAGAATACAAGTTTATTAAAAATCTTCAAACTAGCGGCCTTCGTTAGATGATGTATGTTTTTTCCGTTATGGTCTCAAAATTAGGATCGTAGAGAAAACTTTACTTTTTGGAAAATTGAATTTAGATATGGTCTCAAAGTTACTTTTAATTCGGACCGTAGAGAAAACTTTACTTCTTAACAATATTTTTCCCGCTTTGTACTTCGTTTTTATAACACGACTTATATCATTGTTATATCACCCAAAACAAATTTTTAACCACTCATTTGGCTAAAATTTATCTGGTTTTATTACAGTATTTAGTTAGTCTTATTACAATATTTATTAATATATTATTATTTATCTGCTGATTTTCATATTATCACTGCTTACAAGAATTTTTTTATGTTATTTTATCTTGCATTCGTTTCTCAGCTTTGTTTTAATTTTCACATGCGCAATTTTCATTTTTTATTATTATTCAGAGAATTTTTTTACATCCTTCACTACATTTTTACATTTATGCGGGTGACATTTTTAATGCTTTTTGTTGACGTTTTATTTCGCTACCATAGACTATTTAATTATTGTTATGATTTTTGGTTGCGCGGGTCGCTCATTTTCTTACACTTTTGTTTGGTTGTCTTATTTTGAGTGAGGTATCTATGACAGCGTTAGAGTTTATTGAAGACTGTTGTTTTGTTGATGTAAAAATTTTTTAATGAGGTATACTGCTTTCTGATTGTCTTGGGTTTGTTTATGCTAAAAGTACCTACTTGGTTTTATATGTCTTAAAATAAATTCTAAATGTCTTAAATATGTCTTAAAATAAAATTCTAATAGAAACACAAAAATACTAGTATTTTTGTGTTTCTATTAGAATTTTAATTTATTGTGTTTTCATGTTTTCTTTCGGTGGTATGGTAAGTGATTTATTTAGTTATTTTTATTTCTGTTTGGTTAGTAGATCTTCACTTTTAATACCATATCATCAAAAAAATATTGGTGCTTTAAAAATTTGGGGATGGTTGGGTTTTGGCTATTTGTAGTGAGTGCTTTTTTACTGCAGTATGTAATAGTCGCGGGGTAAAGCATAAGAGGCGATGACGTTTTTCTGAAGGGATAAACTAGTTATAAATGCTGTTCCTCATCGAAACGCCAGTAATGATAGACGCGACTCTGAGGAGATGTTTATTACTTAATCACTACACAAATTATGTTTATGCATTAGCATTAATGTTTTTTTACATTCTGAGGCTTTCCATTGTTATAAGCATACTTTTTATTTTGTGATCAATTTTTTGTTTTATAAGTTTTTGTTTGGTGATATACTTGTTGTATATCTTTTTTTATATTAGTGTTTATAATTTTATCAATTTATTATTATTATTATTATTATTGTTAAGTACTGCTTTAGGTGCATTGTCTGGCTTATTTATTTTTAAATATTCCTCTATTAATCTTTATTTTTGTCTTGGCAACTGTCAAAATATGCTTTGTTCAAAAACTAATTCTTCTTTATTCTTTTTTTTTAATTTGTTTTTTAGCTGCTCCAAGAAGACCTAACGTTCTTGTCGCAGAGCACCGCGGAAGTGCATTTAACCAGGAAGTTCACGCCTCCTTCCTTACCGTGACTCAATTCTAATGTACTTCATTTCTTCTCTCAGGCGTTCACTGCTCGTGTGTGACCATTCGACGAATTTTATATGCCAAAGTTTTTAAATATTAAAAAAAGTTTTTCAAATATTATTATTATTTTTATTTAAAAAAAAAATCATTTACACCATTATTTATTGTTTAATACATATTGTTATTTATTACATATTATAATTCCGATAATTGTAAGATTTTTAAGAAAACATTTTTTGTCTTTTTTAGGATACTTCAAGACACGCATTTTTAATTTTTTTTTTTTTTTTTTTGGTTATTAAAGTGCTCTAAACTATTCTTATGTGTTATCAGTGATGACCGTGGAAAAACATTTAAATAGGAAGTTCACTCTTCCTTCCTTACCAGTATTGCAAATATAGCCAGACCTGGCATTGAAACACAAAACTCTTGATTCAAAGGCAAACTCCTAAATCAAACTCTCATATCAATCACACTAGACATACTTTGAACAGCCGTTGCTGCTCAAAGTATGTCTAGTGTGATTGTATGTATGTTCTAAATTCTAATACCATGTATATTCTAAATTCTTACTAACGTACTTCAACCACATCATAGCTAATGTAGTTTAACCAGGGCCGCTTAGTGCTGTCACGCCGCCTGGAACATCAATCCTGATTGGCGCCTTTATTAATCAAATTGTCTCTATATTATATATGAAGGACCTTTTTTTTTTTTTAGAAACTTACATTTCAATTGGCGCCCCTCGGATATCGGCATTGACTTCAACCACATCATAAGGCATTTATATAAGCTTTATATTTAAACATTTTTATTTAAAAAAAAAGCCTATTGTTCAAAAAGATAAAATTAATTTCAAAAATCATTATGCTATTTCCAAAAAAAATGGCGGTCTTTAAATCAACGAAACTCGTTTTTAAAATTAATGCAACATGATTTGGCGTGAAGTATCAACATTTATCGGCGTGATGCATAAATTTTTCTCCTAGCTTATATGCAAAGTCTCAAATTGATATACTTTGGTCTAATTCACTTTTATATCAACTATGCCAATAAACTATGGCCAAGAACGCAAAAAAAAAAAAAAAAGTGTAAATTTATCGACTAAAAAAAGCACGCTCGCAGGATCATATTCTCTATACATAAACGGGAATATGCATTACCTTTTATGAAAGACAAACTTAAATAATATGTTTTAATTAAATTTAAATGAAAAATAAAATTTATGATCAAATGAAAACAACACTTTTAAATTGCTTTGGAAATGTAACAAACTTTAAGAAAATTGTATAGCATATCGAGGACCTAAAATATTAAACGCCTGTCAAAAAGAATACAAGAAAAAAAAAAGTAAAATAAAAAGAGTGATAAAAAATGGAAGTGTTTATTTAAAAATTTATTAAGTAAATAAAAAAGTATTTATAAACCTAATATGGTAAGTTGGTGTATTTTATATATATGTATTAATAAAACAACTTTTCGGCTGTTTTTTCCCAACAAAAATAGACTAAAAAAGACCTATTTGTTCCTATACAAAAAAAAATTAAAAATAGTTATAAAAATTAATGGTAATCAAAATATAAGTTAAAATTTGTTCTAAAGACGTATTCTGCTAATTAGGTAATAATTATTATTTAGTAGCTTAAAAAATCAAATATGCTTGAATAAAAGGCTTTGAGTTTTCATAATTTAACCAAACAAACATAGTTATGAGATTTTATAACTTTTCCAAACAATACATAATTTATGTTAATAACAAAACCTATATAATGTCATAACATTACAATAACAAAAAATTAAAAATTTAATTAAGAAAAAGTGAGTTTATATTAGAGTTCATTTACCAACTAAACGGTTTAATTTATAGAATATATTGATTGATTTGGCGCCGTTAAAACAAAAATAAAAGCAACTTTTTTATAATTTTTAAGAAAACAGCCTAAACGCACATTCCCTGTCACTCAAATGGTGTTTTTAAAATCGTTGATAACCTAACAAAAATATTTACTCACATACCTGAAACAAACCAAAATTCGAAATCAATACCAAAACCACAGTTTTTTTTTATGGAAATAAATTTTTCTTTTTTGTTTTTAATGATTTATCTAATATAAATTAATGCCAGCAAGATATTTGCAAATGAAAGCGTCGTCGTACCGTTTAATATTACAATATAAAATGAATTGAAAACCAACCATGCAGAAAATGCTCAACCTGAAAACAATTATAAACTCAATTAGAAAACAAGAGTTTATCAAATTATATTACTCAATAATTCAGTTTTCAATTTAATAGCATGTATTTTAATTTATTTTGCATTTAGAGGAAGTTTAAGGCTGTGCTAACTGAGTAGCGTGGCAAATAAATTTAAAAGATAAAAATGAAAAAACATTTTGAAGTAAACCAACAAACGAATCTGAATTAAATTGCTTGCAAATTTGATTCAAAGAATTAAATCAAATTTGCAAGCCTTTTTAATTTAATATTTTTATAACCAACGTTTATAATTTTTATAACCAACGTTTATAATTATAGCGTTAAGAAAGATCACCAAAAGCGAGGTTAAGTACAAAACAAATTTCATCTTATTTCTTGAAAAAAAAGTTTTGAAATTTTGAAATGATAATAATAATAAAACGATAATAAAAATAAAATTTTATTTTCTTAAAAAAAAAATTCTGAAATTTTGAAATGATAATAACACCGTTAGATTTTCTTGGTGCACCTAATAATAATTGCGTTAGAAGCAAGAGACGCGGGGTTCAAAACAAGTTCTGGGCATTTTTCACGTTATCGGTGGTTAAGGAAACGTGAACCTCCTAGATCAACGCTCTTCCACGGTACTCTGTGACAAGACCGCTACATCTTCTTAGAGTACCTAAAACAAATATCAAAAATAATAATAATAAATAAATAAATATGATGTATAGAAACTGCCAAATTAAGAAATTAAAACATTTTATATCTTTTTTTGATATAATACATTAAGTTCATTAAGGCTCATAAGCATGTATATAAATATGTCATAACAGCATCTAAATAAAAAAAACATATTTGAATATATAGTTATTTAAAGTATCATTAATCAAAGATTTACGACAATGGTAGAAAGTTACGTTAGTTGTTAATGTTAACGATAATGGTCGAAATTTAGTACTTTATTAAAATGTAATTAGAGTACGACGATTATTCGTTTATCAAATATCGATGTACAAATATTTGTTAGAGAAAATAGGAGCAGGAAAAAATCTCCCCGGAAAAAACCCTCTGAAATAATCCCCCGAGTAAAAATCCCCCCAGAAAATATCCTCCTAAAAAATTTTTTTAATTAAAAACTATCAATAAAATAGTTATATATATTTATTTATCTGTAAAATGCGAACTGCGAACCGCCAACTGCGAACCGGTAAAATGCGAACTTTTTTGCGAATCCAAAATATTATATTTTAAAGACCATTATTTTTATGATAAAAAAAATAATAAAAAAAACTCTCCAATTCTTAATTATCTACTTTAAAGTTTTATTTTAAAAAAAAAAAATTATTTTCTAAATGTAAAACATGCGCGGAGTGTTGCTACATCGACTATCTTATAGCCTGACTATTTTATAAACCTAACCCTAACCCTAACCCTGATATCGACTGACAAATAGTCTGACTCGCAACGGAGTGCTGCTACATCGATTGAGGGTTTGGTTTGGGCAGGCAGTCTATCAAGTAATTAAAAATGTATATATTTTTTCATATTATATTTATCTAGTTTCACTTAATTTCCTTTTTTTTTTTTTTAGATATTTTTTTTGCTTGAATGTCCTTAATAAAATACCGCTAAATTAACGACGATGGTTTCGCAAAAAAGTTTTACCAGTTCGCAGTTCGTCAGGGGTTAGGGTTTCACATTCGCTACCTTCGAGGAATAGCGTATAACTTGACATTTTGATGAAAAATAAAGTATTTTATATAAATATTTAAAATAAATAAAGAAATAAACATAACTACATATTGCTAATTTTAAAGTAAAAAAAAAAACTTTTTTCAGGGAGGATATTTTCCAGGAAAGAATATTCGTTAAAAATTATTCGCAAGGTACGAATATATTCATATTCATAAACCTATTCTCGTTTAATAAGTAATAACCGTTTAATAAAAATATATTCGTGAAACAAATAAACGGGAACGAATATATATTGGTTTACCTTTATTCGCTAAACGAATAAATATTTGTTCAACGAACAAAATTTGTTTATAGAATATAATTTGTTAAGCGAATTTTATTTCTTAAATAAATATCATTTGTTAAACGAATATAAAATGAAAATAATTTGTATTTTACGAATATATTAAGTTTTATTATTTAATATTTGAAATATTATATATATTTTTTAAATATTTTTTTAATATTTGAATATATTATATATTTTATTTTTTAATATTTGAAAATTTAATATTTGATTTATACCTATTATATACTTTATATAAAAAGTAAGAAAACATTACTTATTAGCTTGTTTATAACAATAATTAATGTTTTGTCGTTTATTATATATAATATAATAATTATACTAACAAAACTTTTAAATTAAATTAATCATCAGCAAAATAACTTTACTGGTAAATTTTTTTACGCAACTTCTTCCTTTAAATAATTCAAATTTTTAAGGTTTATCTGGGGCGAACGAAAATAACATTTTAAACTTTGTAATTGTTTTGTTTTTTGGACAGAAAATAACAAAACAAAGAAATATTTCTTTCTTAAGAAATTTTATCTGATTATACTAATGATATTCTGAAGGAATTTCATTTTTAAATTCCTTTCATTTACAATTGTTAATTTCGATTAAACATTTGAATATATTTTTCAGGTGCAAGCTGCCTTTCTTTATAAAATGTCCAGAAATTCTTGTATTTGGGATTGAAATGACTGACACTACTCATTCAAAGTGTAATCATCAATAACGCAAAGCTTCGCGTTATTGATGATAACGACGATGATAAATTCATCAGTGATCAAGTGAACAAAAATATAGACAATGAGAAGATTGACCTTCATGGTTGTGCCTTTGCTAATGATATCTGGACTTTTTGTAATAATCTTGCTTTCCAATTTCTCTCTCTTCATTTCATTACAAAATGTTTTCAGACTTCTTGTTAAACTTGATTCATTTCTTGATGCACAAACTAAAAATATTGTAGAAAACTAGATTACTTATAAAACGCTTAAATTTGGAGAAAAAACATATACATGGGTAACAAATGATTTAAATGTTATGAAAGCTAAGTGCATTAACAAATTTATCAACGTCAATCTTTGGTGCGCTAATCATCAGATACATTTGATTATCTCACAAGTTCTAGCTATTGTTCCTGTATGGTTAGAAATTTAACTGAAGCTAAACAAATTAGTTAGAGACTTCAGTCATTCTGCTAATGCTACGAGCATTTTGAGGAAAATTGCTATTGAGTATAACCAACTATGAACTTGACTTATCGATAAAATTTCACAAGTTTAGACTCTGATAAGGATTCATAATTTTAACATAATATAATTTTAAGAAAAAATAAACTAAAATTGTATGTTAACTTATGCCAAATGCGAGATAGCACGTTATGTTGATGAAGGAGTTGCAAACGATAACGCAGATACCATCGAATATTGGAAGACAAACCGTACAAGATTTTCTTATCTCAGCATATTGGCAAGGAAGATCTTGAGCATCCCTGCATCATCAGCTACCTCGGAACGAGTATTTTATTTGATTGAAATGTTCTATCTGAAAGAGGAGATAAACTTAGCATTGACAATATTAAAATGATTGTTTTCATGAAAGAAAACTTAAAGGAGATGGAAAGTATCACCTGGTCGATGTATGAAGAAGATAACGATAAAAGATAAAAAATTATGAAAAAGTATACTAATATGTAATTTTTTTTTTCTTTTTATTGATGTTTTTAGTAAATATTTGTTTCAACAATTATGAAAAATTGATAATATTGCCGGCAATATTATCTATCTACTTGTTGCAGTCTACCTGATGGCATGCCATCAGGTGGTCTGTAAACACCGACTTCGGCGATGTGGCACAATTAAATTTGAAAAATGTTGTAGATATATCTAATCTAGTGACCAATATACTAAATAAATTTAATATCTTGTTTTTTTAACGAGTTTATTCGGTATCGCTTATTTGCTGAACGATTATATTATTCGTACAACGAATAAACGAGAACAAATATATTTGTTTAACGAATATTCGTAAAACATTTATATGTTAAACAATATTATTTGTTCAGTAATCGTTCAACAAATAAAATGAAAAAGAGCGAATATTCGTAACCGTAACAAAGAATCTTTTTTTTTTTTTTTTTTTTTTTAATCACATTTTAAATAAGCATTTTGTTACAATATTTAAAATACAAATAAATAATAATAACAATATATATATATATATATATATATATATATATATATATATATATATATATATATATATATATATATATATATATATATATATATATATATATATATATATATATATATATATATATATATATATATATAAATATATATATATATATATATATATATATATATATATATATATATATATTTAAAAATTTGGAAAGGTATGTCTTTTAAAACGTCAAAACAGTTTATAATAACATTCCGATTGACATCATCTGGACCAACTGCTTGACTTTAACAATTTAAAAGCACTTTTAAATTCTTCAAAAGACAAATCAAAAAAGTTTAGATACGAGTTTAAAGGGTCATATGTTGCCTTTATTAATTTTTTAGGGTTTGGAATTTTTTCGGCTAGGTTTGGTCCTACAGATACAAAATATTTATTTAATTGGAAGCAATTGTTTTTTGATCCAGAAAAAAATTATCATCTACTTTAATAACTGAGGGCAAAGGATGCGATATTTTTTTAGTGTTACCAGTAATTTCGTTTATTAGTTGCCAAGTGCGTTTTGAGTTTAATTTGTATTTTTCAAGTAATTTAGTGTAGTATAATATTTTCCAATTTTTCCTTAGGCGTTCAAAGTAGTCTTACGTAATTTTTATAAATGGTCTTACTTTTAGTTGTTTTCGATTTTAAATATTTAATATAAAGTTTTTGTTTAGTTTTAGATGATTTTAGAATACCCTTAGTAATCCATGGCGATTTAATTTTTTTTAT